TGGAAACATAAAAAAGGACAACATTGGATATGGCATATAAGTAATGAGATAAGTCTCATTTTGGTTGTATTATGCATACAACCATCCCCGTACAACATGTTGCGTATAAGATAATTTTTCACACTATTGATGCATTCTAGATTTGGAATGATCAACTTGGCCATCCAAAGGGATGTGTGAAAAATTATTGGCAGTTCTTTTGGTCATAATTTTCCCAAAGTATGGCTACGATAAGTGTCGTAGGGAAACAAATTTTAAGACCCCCTTATTTTAAAATCAGATTGAATATCTTAGATTCCTTGATCATATTCAAGAGAATTGAATATGTGTAAGTTCGATACAAATATTGTATGGACAGTTCAGGCATTTCATGGTTGTAAAGATGCATCTATAAGATGATTTAGAGTGTGTGAAGTATCCACACTCAGCCATGCATTTGGTACATAATGGCTCATGTTGTGAGCTCATTATCCTGAACACTACTGAATTTTTGTGTCTACAATGATGATTGTTTGGTATAACAAAAGTTTAGTTACATATCCAAAAGGATAAATGGAATCTATGAGTATGACATCAAGGTCATAGTAGGACCATTGTTAGTGAATTGCTATTTGCCAACTTCGTGTTGGGGTCAGGCAGATTTACACACTCCTGACTTGTGATTAACTACATATCCTCTATATGCATTTAGTACGTGGAAATCCATGAAGATTTGCTATTTGCGTAAGATTGGGTTACGTTGTATACGTACCAATCTCACCACCGCAGCGTACATTATTCATGGGCACACACAAGAAACTAGGGATCAATATGAGATTTCAATCTCCATCCATTGTTGAGTATTTAGACCTCTTATGGAGGATCTATTTACGACCCGTATTCTGATTTTATTTTGATAATGAGCATTTCCAGGCATTAGGAGGAGATTTGATGTACATAATGCTAGGAAATTATTTGGAATCCATAAGGCATTTCAATCTCAAGATCACGTACTAAATGTTGAGTTCAAAGAATTGTTGATTTGCATAATATTGCAAATAAACTGTCAAATGCATTTACTGATTACTAAGGTTTCTTTTAAACTTGTTAATCTGTTGCAAGTATGTGCTAGAAAGAGTGGTGATACCAAGTAAAACCACTCAACTCCCAATTATAAATAAGAGGGGGAGAAGTATGGCCATAAAATAGGATTATTCATACTAGCAATAGAAGGTTTTCCTTCTAAGATAGTAAATGCATGTCAACCTATGGTTGGCGACACCTTGTGGGTAAAGTTTAGTTATTACCCAGTGGATGGATGTCATCCACAAACCTAGCTCAGAGGTGCACCTAAATACTGATGCTAGGATATTGGAAAGCTCTGACTCTCATTTTGAGAAGTCACGATGAGTCATTCAGGGTATGAGTTTTGATAACCGGAGAATTATATCATAGAAAGGCTACATGTGTCGATACGCTTCTCTGAATAAACTGTATACAACATTCAAAGTCATCCAGTCAATAAGACCATGACATAGTGCTTTGCTCACTCTTACTGGAACTTGTTGAGTGATGTAATACATGCAGAGATAGTCTTGCGCACCAGAAAAGAGGTCCAACACCTCATGGTACCTTTACTGTGGGTACAAAATTGTTTTCGTCCAAAAATAGATTGAGAACAATGTGGTGGTGAGATCAAAGCAAGACTAGTAGCACAAGGGGCTTACGCAAAGCCCAAGCATTGATTTCTAATGCAAATTATTCTCTATAGTAAGTTATAAATTTCTGATATTATCTTTTGATTGGCAGTATAAAAGCATCTATCTTTGCAGTTGATAATTGATAGATGTAGTGATCACATATATATGATCACTTGATTTGGTGTATTTGTGAAGCTTCTAGGAAGGAGTTCACATACCCAATCCTTATACATAAAATCGCAACACATATTATGTATTGCTTAAGTCAATATATGGCTTAAAGCAGTTAAGTCGAATTTGGTACAATCGACTTTGTGTGTATTCCCTAAACTAAAGGGATATAAGATTAATTACACGTGGTGTTCATTTTAAAGTCCTTGATTGGATTTTATAGTGTTATATGATAGTCAATAATCTTGACATCATTAGTGATGAACACATATTAATAGCACGTTGTAATCTAAAGACGGGGTTTGAGATGGAAGATACGGACTAAATCAAAATTTCATTTTATGTTTATGATTCAAGCATCTTCTCTTAGGATTTTGTACAAAAGCTATCTATATCTAGATCATATTGAGTGATTCAATATGAAGGTATCCTATGGTTGCTCTACCTCATGATAGAGGAATATTGTTTTATGCCATAGTGACTGAGATGAGATATTGGGACATGTGGTCCACTATCTCTGTGCTATTTATGCACTAATAAATCTTGCAAAAGTTTCTGGCCGGATATTATTTTTGTAATGATTTGCTATCTAGTAGCAGCGCTACTCCTATTCAATGTTGGTGGATTGAAGTTAAGAATATGTTTTGATATCTTAAATAGCACATGTGGCCTTGGTGTAATCCATGATCCAATTATGTGGATATAATGATTCTGGTTATCTATAAGATCCCAAAATTGTAGATCATTGAAATAGGCTTTACATGAATATGGAAAGACCATTTTGTGATAGTCTTTAAATAGACATAAATGGTCACTTCCACCAATCATTCTGATATTATATTTTATAAGGCTTCACATGAATGTGTATAGCTTGATAGAATGATATATCACATACTGAAGTTATGTGGTGTTGATTCTATGAATCAATGGTCATTATCTATAAAGATAATACAACTTGTGTTGTGTAGATGAAGACAAGTTATACTTAATGCAATATTTTGCACTAAGATGGTTTTGTTCCATAGGTAATATGGGCATATGAACATTTGCAAACTAAGTATTGTGATAATCTCGCTGAGATATTCACAAAGTCTAACACACTCCACATTTCTTATGTGTTGAGTGCATTGGTAAGAATTTACTTTGAGATTTGCAAGTATCAAGGGGGAGAGTCTCTCTGGTTCATAACTTGTTGTAAAAATCATATTGCACTCTTTTCTTTGTATGTGTTTTTTCCTTTGGGTTTCTCACATAAAGTTTTTAATGAAGCAATATTAGCACAATGTTATGTCATATCATCCATTTTCCCCACATGTTTTTTGGTGGACGATATTAGGACATAAGATGCATTGTACTCTTTTCTTTATGTTAGTTTTCCTTTGAGATTTCTCATATAAAGTTTTTGATGAGGCAATGTCAACATAAAGTTATATGCTTATCATCTAGTTTTCCCCACCGAGGTTTTTGGAAGATGATATTTGACGTATATTGACCATATGGTCAAAATGTTTCTAAACTAAAGCTTTGGGTTTATCTCAAAGGGTCTAATAACACCGGTGATTGTATATCATGGTGTTTCTCCTTATTTTTCCCATCGGGTTTTAAGGACTTTTGCCTGGTATATCGGTATTACTTTGGTTATTCCCACAGGGTTTTCTAAAGATTCGTAAAGATGCATAATAGATGAACAATAAAGACTACAAAGAGCTAATTGATCAAGGATGAGTGTTGAGAATTATTATTTAGTGCTCAATTAGAGATTAATCCAAGGGGTGTCTTTTCACCCTTCTCTCTTTCACACTTGTAACCGCCTACATGGACTCTGTATATATATATATATACACACTGTTCATTGGAATACAAGGGAGAATCATTTGCATCACTCGATCTCTCTCGTTCTCTATTTTCTAACAAGATCAAAACATTTCTCAGCATGTCTCTTGTGGATGCTTTAATAGAAGGAGTTTTGAAAGGCTGGACACATGTGAATGATGCTCTCTTTTTTTAGAAAAAAAGGATTGTTGATCAATGCTCTCTAGACCTATCCAGAGGGCCGTGTGTCCGGTGCGACTGCACGGGGCCTGTAATTTTACTTGGATTAAGCATGGTAGATTAGGCATGCATAATAACTTGTTAAACATGCATAATTAACTTATTCTAACCCTCCTGGTTTTCGTCCATGGTAGATTAAGCATGCACAGTTTTGTTAAACTTTACTTGAATTTGAAATATTTACGAATTTTTTATAAAAGTTTTTTAAAATGCTTTCCAAATATTTGGTGTCAAGATATAGGTTAAAATCACATGGTATCAAAAAAAACTAGGGATAAATTTTATATGAGAAAACTAGTTTTTTTAGCTGAGTTGAACATGTTAAGTTCTCTAAATGGAACAAGAGCAAACTTTGCCTCCGCTTTGAAAAAGCAGGGCAACATCACAAAACTAAATAAATAAAGATAGAGCACAACTAGACTTTAAATTTGAGATAAGAACACGAGAGCCCCTAAACTAAAAGGACAACTCATAAGATTATAATTCACCGCTTTTATTGTAACTAAACAATGATTAAACAATAAAAAACCAGACATGACGCTTAGGAGAAGCGTAAAAAAATGATTGTCCATCTATCCAGACGACGACCGGAAAGTAAATATTTCATGAACCCACGGCGGCGGTGGAGTAGCAAGGGGCGTGATTGGATTCTGCACCGTCGGAGCCAAACCTGCATCGCGTCAGCCCAGCTCCCCAGGGACAGCACCACGTCGGCCTGGCTCGCCAGATACGGGATTTCTGGCCGTTTCCCCTGATGCAGCATCTTTGCAGAATCGTGCATTTCGTGAGACAGGTTCCGGTGCAGCGCAGGCAACCAAACACGCTGACAGAAAAAAGATTCTGCATCACGGGAGCCAGGCTGGCTAACAAGCGACTGAAAAACGATCCTGCACCACGAGAGCAGCGCAGGCAACCAAACACGCAAGGAAGAAAAGATGCTGCATCACACCAGCCTGGCCGAGTCTACGCAGGCAGCCAATCAGGCCCAAGGAGACCCCAGTGGAGCCGTCGCATCGCACGCTTCCTTCACCCGACCAAATAGCCCAGGCCGGGAGGCACGCTTGAGTTGAGAGCCACACACCGAGACGTCACGCGCGGATGGCCGCCGCCGCGGGCGAGACCCGCGGCTGCGGCTGCCACATTGTGGCGGTGCCGTTCCCGGGCCGCGGCCACGTCAACGCCATGATGAACCTGAGTCGCTTCCTCGCCGCCCGGGGCGCGGCGGTCACCTTCGTCGTCACCGAGGAGTGGCTCGGCCTTATCCGCTCCTCCTCCACCGCCGCCGCCGAGCCGGCCGGCATCCGCATCCGCACCATCCCCAACGTCATCCCTTCCGAGCACGGCCGCGCCGCCAACCACTCGGGCTTCCTCGACGCCGTCGCCACAGAGATGGAGGCGCCCTTCGAGCGCCTTCTCGACGGGCTCGAGGGCCCGCCGCCCGCGGTGCTCGTGGCGGACGCCTACGTTCCCTGGGTCGTCGGCGTCGGCAACCGGAGGGGCGTCCCCGTCTGGTCGCTCTTCCCCATGTCCGCCGCCTTTTTCTATGCCTACTACCACTTCGACCGCCTCCCGGCCTGGCTTACCGACTATGAGCACGCGCCGGACTCCGGTGAGACTATAGGTGAGGGACTCAAGGCCTTGCCGCCAGGGTTTTAGCTTGCCAGGGTCTGCATTTGCACCCTGAATTTGTGTTCCTAGGGAAATGAATTGTTGAACTTGGAGATTCTAGGATCTGTTTTCTGATTACAGTGCATCGAGCATACTTAATACTGCTGCTACAAGATAAGGATGTGCCGCCATGCCGGTCACTACACAACAATTTCTTACTAGTGCCTCAAATGGCATTGTTTTTGCGCATATTCCAAAGCTACCAATTTTCCTGGTGGCAGTGAGAACAACAATTAATATGAAGACTGTTTGCTAGGATCGCATGTCACTCTGCACGAACTTGTATTTTAGTTTTAATCTCACGTGATTTCTTTCTTAAGCAATGCTCACACGATTAACACAATCTTCAGCAGTCAACATAGCTGACAATTGCTATTCTAGTCCTCCAAATCTAGCTTGATTGGTTGTACAAATGATGCACATTCAGTTTAGTATCCAAATATAAAAATTATTATAGAGAACAGCTAACCACTTAGATGTGTTCTTAGGTGGAAGCAGTGGCGGATCCAAAGGGGGGGCTGGGGGGGCTCCAGCCCCCCCTAATTTCTTGATTTCAATGCTAATTACTGTAGCAAAAACGTGATTTCACCGTTAAATCTTCGTGCAAATCAACATCTCTGTTGTTTTAGCCCCCCCTTATCCCGCATCCCACATCCGCCACTGGGTGGAAGGTTTGGGTTGGGTGTGCACAACCATTTTCAATGCACTGCTGTGGTGTGTGGCACGAGTGAGCCCCCTATTTCAGAAAAGAGTACACCAAATGAGCACGAATCAGACCTGAAAAACTGTCTCCGCTCTATTTGGCTTGGCAGAAATAGCCTACTCTATTTCTGATTCATCTTTGATTCATATCCTTCTCTTATTCCTCTTGTCAGATTGCCCCACAGCTTTTTTGAATACATATATGTTTCATTTTTGTATCTCATACTTTTCGTTTCTGGTGGTTTTTATGTGGACCATCGATAAGAAGGCTTGCAACATCAACATTTCTCAGCTCTCTATTTTATGATATGCAGGTAACTCTGATCAGAGACTTGGGCACTATATCACTGGACACGCTTCAAGTTCAATAAGGTTGTCAGATCTTGAGCCCTTAATTCACGACAAGAGAAAAGTGAAGCATATCCTAGCAGCCATCTCTAGCGTTAGAAATGCTCAGTGTCTCCTTTTCACCACCATGTATGAGCTTGAGGCCAGTGTCATCCACTCGATAAGGTCAGCACTCTCTTGTCCAGTGTACCCAATCGGCCCCTGCATTCCCTACATGGCGCTTGAAGACCAGCATACCATGTCCAACGGCGAAGTTGCCAGCCAAGGAGACTATTTCACCTGGTTGGATTCTCAACCTGTGAACTCAGTTTTGTACGTCTCCCTTGGCAGCTTTGTCTCAGTCTCAGCCTCTCAGCTTGAAGAGATCGCATTGGGCCTAGTAGCCAGTGAGGTCAAGTTCTTGTGGATTCTTCGTGAACAATCCCCTCGGGTGCAAGAACTCTTCGCTGGCATCAATAATGGGATGATACTGCCATGGTGTGAGCAGCTTAAGGTTTTGTGCCATCGTTCAGTTGGGGGCTTCTTGACCCATTGCGGGATGAACTCGACACTTGAAGGCGTCTTTGCTGGTGTGCCTATGCTTGCCTTACCACTGTTTTTTGATCAACCGATTGATGGACGATTAATTGTGGAAGATTGGAAGGTTGGCCTGAACTTTAGGGATTGGGCTAGCAAGGATGGTCTGATCGGGAGAGAGGATATTGCACGGGCTGTGAAGAAGCTGATGTCTTCTGATGAAACTGAGACAAAGGCGCTGAGGAAACGTGCTCTCGAGTTGAAGGAGGCTTCTCGCAGAGCAGTCCACAAGGGTGGATCTTCGTACTGCAATCTGAGTTCATTGATGGAGACGGTATGCACTCCAAAGTAATTGGAATCGTATTTGGTATATGCTGAAACCAATCTTGTCACACTGTGGTGGTGTTGTAACCTGTAACCATCAATGCTTCAAATATCAATTGTACAATCAACCCTTGTTTACTCTTTAGAATTTGTGCAACTTTCGCAAAGGTTGATTATGCATAGACCTATCGCAAAGGTTGACTATGCATAGGCCTTTACTTAATTGATGTACGATTTGTTCAATCCATCAGCTAGTAGTTCTTTTGTCCGAGTTGCGTTTGGACAGTAGTTGTAGCAAAATGCCTAGTGTTTTCTTCTCCTTATCGAAGGTTTTCTAGGTTTCATGGCCTTAAAACTTTGTACGATCTTATGCTAAACTGATAAGCTGTGAATTAGCTTGGAGTTTCAAATTTACAGCTTAAGATTTTGATTCTGAAGACTTGCCTGGGTAGTCTGCACTCGCCATTAACCGGCGGCCGTGCCCATGGCCACATCAACCACATGCTGAACCTGTGCCGTGGACACCAGGATAGTGGCTCCTTGTGGAGATGGTGGGTGTGGAAGGCCGCGGCTGTCGTGGCCGATAACAGCACTGTGGCCTGTGGGCGGTGCCGAATCGCCGATGGCGTTGAGGCTGCGTGTGGCTGCGTGCTCCTTTTGCCTTTTGCGTGTGGCCACCCACTTCGCCGTCTTCTTCCATTTTCAGAGCCTCGCATCCGCACACCGCGCCACAGATCTGTCGCGACAGAGTTTCAAATGAAGAATATCATTTTTCACAAGACCATCTTTGCCAATCATTTCTGTTAAGATCCTACGAAGTTTAGCTTCTACAAAGTTCAGCAGTCAAAGAATTTGATCCTACAAAGTTTAGCATAAACTGCTGAACATGTCTGTATTTCGCCTCGACTATGAGCAAGTCTGTTAAGAATTTGATGAGCGTGCGCTGACACAGCAAGTGGGGAGAAGAGGCAATCAGGCAATTGATTTTTATATTTTTTTACTCTGACAATTTTTGTTCGGCATTTGCATCAGAATCAGATATAAGTTTCCCCTGCAATTCAGACCATTCACCAAAATTCCAAAACTGTAGGGCCACTTCCAATCCAAACGACAACTGATATACATTTATGAATAAATTGAATTAATCAGCAAAACACCATTCACATTTATGAATAAATGTCGGTACTAGATAGAATCCTGATGTACACTAAGGTGTATCCATCACATGAAACACAACATCCAAATCCTAATTGCCATCAGAAGTTAGATAACACCTGACTCTGAGAACAGCCTAGCAAACAATCGGCTGTCAAAAGTATTCAAACTTTTTTGACTCCCAAAACAAGCAAACATAAACACCCTAGCGAATGTCAGACTCGCCTTCCATTACACTTTCTAAAGCAATAGCAAACACGGATACTAGCACGAAGTTAATCTTCGTTTACTTGCAGATCTCCACTGCGGGTGGACGAAGCGCGACCCCTCCGAACTGCTCGCTGGAATACTTCTTGTACACAACCCTCAGCTTGCTCTCAGGGGCAGTCGAGTGTGCTCTCACCAGCATCTTCGTGCATTCACTGAAACCATCACAAATCGCAAAGGTCAAACCGTGTCCAAAGCTTATGAAGAATACACATATGAATTTAGGCAGAGAAAGATGGTGATTGGCAATGGAATCTTACATTAGCTCTGCCTCTGACTGTCTGAAGCCTGTGTGGTGCTTAAGGGTGTCGGTCCAAACGGGGGCCCTCTTGAGAGTGAGCCTGGCTGCATAGACAGCAGAAGCTGCAACCAGCGAAGGTAGACGCGTCACCAAGTCGTATTGCATCAGCGCCAATTCAGCAAAGAAGAAGACCATATTCTCCATCTGCATTCCACCAGACCAGAGAAATGTAAGCTCACAAAAGCACAAGATTGGTGAATCTCTGATTTGGTACCAATACCAACGAAATTTGTTTACCTCTTTCTCAACTTTGTTACCCAAGGTCGCCGCCTTCATAAAACGGACAAGGAACATGTATACTGTAGGGACAGTCAAGTTCCACTCCAGCCTATTCAGAATCCCCTTCTCCATCGAAAGAATCTGCTCCCTGCTGTAAGCACTGTCTGATATAAGGATGAAGTCGTTCACCTGAAAAGCACACACGAATGCATTTAGGGGAAAAAAAACTTGAAAAGTAGCACTGGGAACATAGGACAGAGAGATGAAAAGCTTTCTGTGTACCTCTGGGGCCCAAATCTCCTCGTACTTGCAGGCGATCAGCATAGCTGAAACGCCGACAAGCTGCAGCTCCCTTCGCAGGACTGGTTGCAGCGAGAGGTACTGATCAATGATGTACATGGTCAAGTAGAGAGTTTCTGGCATCAGTTCGAACTTGTGGTGCACTTCAATTATCCAATCAACCAGGATAGCCCTCATCTTAGCGTTGATCTCGACTTGGGCTTCAATGTAGTCACATGGCCGTCTCTCGTGCTGCAACAAAGCCAGAAAGAAACACTTTCAGAGACAGTCGCTAACAGATCACACAATTCACACATAATAATTCATAGATCTGTTGCAGTTACCTGAGCAATCTTGTAGAACGTGTAGATGTCCTCAATGTATTCCACGACTGCGAGCTCATCGTTGACGTCCAACTTGTCGATGTCTTCGATCACTTGTCTTGGCTTATCAGCGATTCCACAGGCAGCCTGACACATTCAGATTGAAACAATCAGAACAATTCGCAAGTTGTTTGTAACAGGAAATTGCGGCCTGTAATTACTAGAGCAAGCAGAGTCTTTTGACAGCTCCACGCACCTTTGAGCGAGCAGAGAGCACAGAAGAAAGGGTGTTGATGGCCTTCCTCCTCGAGCGGACGGAGCTAGCGCTGCTCTCGGACTGCGTCCTGCTCTGTTCAGAGTCGGAGCTGACTACTATGATATCTTCAGGCAGCGGCAGCTTGGCAGGAGCCTTCCTGTCCTGCCTCAGCGCATGCCTCGCAGGTAGGATTGCGGCATTCTGATCGCACAGAGATATTTCAGTTAGAGAAAAGACAGGGGAATCAAATGCTTCAAAGCCCAGATTACTCTTTCAGGGAGACTGGAAGAGAAGGGAGCATGGTTGCACCTTGATGGCGGCATTCGCCTGAGCATTCTTCACGAGTTGAGCACCGAAGCTTCTCGTGATGGGGCGATTGACCTGCTGTTCCTGCGGCTGAGGCTTCCTGTAACCATGAAAACAAGTCTTCAGAACAAGAACAGGCAACGAAACAGCGGTGGCAGAAGAAAAGGAGCTTGGGTTCGTTCGTACCCTTCGGCTGGGCGGGCGGTGACGAGGTTGCCAATATCGCCGAGGGGGGGTCGCCGGTTCATGGCGTCAGCTGCTCGGCCGGGCACGACCTTGCTCTTTCCAAGAGCGGGAACAGCGCCTGACCATCGCACAAGAGAAACAGGAGATCAGGATGGCACGAGATGTTCACCGTAAGAATCTGTACAGGAAACAAATCTACTCGAGAATCCTTCCTCTAGACTAGCTAGAACCAGAATCCAGCCGTTGCGCAGAAACAAGAACAGACATCAGGAAGGACCATGACGAGGCTAAAGATCCAAGCTTTTTCGTTAATCGAGTCAAAGGACTTGCTCTGGAGGGTAAGAATCCCCCGCAAGAGCTCCGCCCCCACCCAAACACGATCAAGACGAACGAGGGAGCAACCAAGAAGAAGCGCTAGGATCCGTGGGCCTCACCTCGGCTGTGATGGCGGAGCTGCGGAGCGGCAGCCGCGGCGGCGTTGTTGTGGTTGCGCGTGGCCATCTCTTCGTCCTCGTTGTCCTCGGCCTGGCCGAAGAGCCCGGAGAGCACGGAGGCGAAGAAAGACTGGAGGCGCGCCGCCCGCGACCCCTCTTCCCCGCCGGCGAGCGCAGCCACCGCGGATCCGCAAGCACAGTAGCAAGAAGAAGCGTTTTTTTGCTCCCTTAAGCTTTCCCTCTTCTCCTAATGGCGGCGCGTGATGTTGATGGTACAGTTGTTGAGGGGACGAGGAGGCTATATGGCTCGGGGAGGGGAGGTGCAGATATAAACGAGCGTGCGGGCGGGCCGCGGGCGCTGTCAGGAGGCAGGGCGGAGCGGGTCGAGGCGGCGAGAGAGGAGAGGGGAGGAGGAGGAGCTCCAACGGTCGGGAAGGGTTCGTATCGCAACGGTCGGGAGGAGCCGGTCGGACGGCTGGGATCGATCCCCCCGGAAACTAGCCGTTGCGCCGAGTGGGATTCGCCTCCGAGCTGGAAAGGGGGGGATAGGCGTTCTTTTACGGCGCCGTTGTTGAGTTGGGACTTGGGAGGTGTGATTCTGCTCTTCCTTCCTTTCTTGGCCGAGGCGCGTGATTAACAGCTTAACATGTGCAGGCGCAGTAATAAATGATTGGGGGATTCGCGTTATTATTTGGAGATCGCGTGTGTTTTCCTCAAAGCTTTCACATCAACGTCTCGCAGTCGACGGTTTTTTTTACCCTGTTCGGACGGGGTTTAGTCGGCCTTTTGGCTCGATCGTTTATGTGACTGATAAGTCGGCTGATGTTGTTTTGTTGTGAGAGAAAAATATTATATCATGGCTGATAAGCATGATTGATACGATCAAACGAACAGAGTATGTGTTTGTGAGGGTGATGTCAACTTTTGTTCCAAACTGTGTGTCAAATTGAAATAGTCAAATAGGTTTGATCTCAATTGTATGTACGAGAGCATGTCCAGCAAGTAAAATTCAGTCCATCCAATGAACGAGCCGGGACTGGGTGTCTGTTTAGTTTCTAAAATTTTACAAAATTTTTTAAGATTTCTTGTCACATCGAATCTTTAGACACATGCATAAAGTATTAAATATAAATAAAAAATAAAACTAATTACACAGTTTAGACAAAATTCACGAGACGAATCTTTTAAACCTAATTAGACTATGGTTAGACACTAATTATCAAATAACAACGAAAATACTACAGGTACTATTTTTTCAAAAAATTCGCCAACTAAACAAGGCACATGAGGACTGGGCTGGGAGGGAGGCATTGGTCACATGACCAAGCGGTCATCGCTAGCAGATAGAGAGCCTCACGGACAAAAGCACCGTACAAGCATGTGAGCCGAGACTGCAGTGGGATTTTTAAGTTTTGCATCGTTTTTGTCACTTTTATAAGAGCAACTACATATTTACCACACAAAACAGTAAAACTTATAAATATTTGTCACTTTCGTTGACGTGGCACTCCACATAGTCAGCCAGCGTGGCAGTGCTCTCAAAACCAATGCCGCTTTTCTCTCCCTCCACTCGGTGACATATGGGCCCCACCAGTCAGGTCCTCCTTCAACCTCCAGCATCAACCATCAACACGCAGGCTCATCCCTCTGCGCCTCCTCGGTCATGGCCGGCGCAACGAAGCGCATGCAGGCAAGGGCGTTCGTGCGTGCGGCCCATGGGGTGTATCTGTGTGTGCGATTGAGTTCGACATGAGCAGGAACGGAGGATGGGGTGGCTGCGGAGTCGGTGCAATTTCGGCATGGGCAGCGGCCAGCTGCGGAGACGGTAGACTCGGGCATAACGGTGCGGGGAGGGTGGAGCCGCTCTGGCAGGCTTGGGAAGGGCTCCGCAACTGCAGCGGACTCTGTGCTTGCGCGTTGAGCCTGCACGGGAGGCGCAGGGAGGTAGCACGGCGGGCTGCACGTCGGGTGGTGCGGGAGGCCTACGCGGGGGCGCAAAGCTCCGGCGCCGGCGGCCACCATCACCGGCACGCCCGCGAAGCTCCAAAACTAGCTCAGATGTGGATGAAGGGTGCGGTGGCGTGCGGGAGGCCAAGGCATGCGACGCTGGAACGACGACGCGTCGAGTCGAGCACGTCATAAGACAGACGTGTTGTGCAAAGGCGTGAGTCCGCCGTTGTTGTTAAAGCGCGATTTTGCGGTTAACGGCGGCAGCGCGGGTGACCATGACCATGTCTGCGAGTTGTGGCGGTGGAAGAGGTTGAAGGAGACCGCCGACCCTGGCATGGCATGCAGCGCCCTGGGCGGCCTCGGTGCGTGCAGCCTGGGTGCGTGCGGATGGCAATAAGTGGCACGTGCTCGCCTCCTTGTTGGCCAGAGGTTAAAAATGAACCTGACTTGTGGGGCCCACGTGTCAGCGAGTAGACGAAGAGAAGCAGCGGTGGTCTTGAGAAGCGCTGCCACGCTAGCTAACTACGTGGCATGCCACGTCAGCGAATGGCAAATACATAGAGTCTCACTGTTTCGTGTGGCAAATATATAGTTGCCCGTATAAAAATGACAAACGGAGGAGTGCATCCATGACTATGACAAAAACTTAAAAATCCCGACTGCGGTACATGCATGTTCCGCCTCGGTCCGGTGTCTCTCCTCAAGAAATGGGATCCCTCAAGAAATTATCTTTCGTGGATGTTTTGTGCTTGCGCTTCGTCTACGGCGAATTTCTTCTTCACGGATGAATTTCAAATGGTAATGTGGGTCAGCTCGCTTTCGCCCAATTGGAGCTTGACTTGTGTTCTGTTCGCGAGAATACTTTGCACAGTGACAGCGTACATCCCCAAAAGGCATCACCTAATTCAACCTGCAAATAACACAGCGAAGCCTGTGATTTTTTTTCTTTCTTCGCGCGCGATTCATGCGTGCAGAGTTTTCCCTTGGAGATTTGGGTTTGTGTTTGTTAAAACTTTGCCCACTTTTATTCAAAATGAAAAAAAAGGATGCAGAAGATTGGCCCAATGTTGTCACGAGATGAAAACGGATTGGATATGGGTTGAGAAAGAGCGTGGCTAATCCATCGTGAAAGAGAACCTTCGGCTAGTTCGTTTGATCGTATTTGGCTTATCAGCTAACAACAATATATTTTTCTCGCGATCAAATCAATCAACAGTACTTTTAGTTATGGCCTTATAAGCCAAACCAGCCCAAACGAATGGGGCGCTTATCTGGCTGTCCATCTAGGGCAGGGCCACTAAACGGCTAGGAGACACGAGTCGTGTGACCATGCAGTCGAAGAGGTCGAGGGGTGTTTGGTTCTTTAGTCGCTTCTAAAATTCATGTCACGTTGAATGTTTAGATCATAATAAGGAGCGTTAAATATAGATTAATTACAAAACCAATTACATAGATGGAGGTTAATTTACGAGACAAATTTTTAAGCCTAATTAATCTATCATTAGCACATGTTTACTGTAGCACCATGTTGTCAAATCATAGACTAATTAGGCTTAAAATATTCATCTCGTAAATTAGTCACAAGTTATACAATTAGTTTCATAATTAGTTTATATTTAATACTTCATGCATATATCAAACATTTGATGTGATAGAAATTTTTGCGTCTAAAAAAACCAAACAGGGCCCTACACTAGCAATAGCAGATGGACTCACTGACAAAAGCCACTATTGTCTTCAGTTGCCTCGCATTTCGCGTGCATGTGATGTGACTCGTGAGTAGCGTGCTCCTCGGCTCCATGACTCGTTGACAAGACTACATGCAGATGGACGGCAGTTTAGGTCCGTTTAGATGTAACTCAAAACTCAAAATTTTTGAAGATTCTCTGTCACATCGAATTTTGCGGTATATATATGGAGTACTAAATATAAATAAAAAAAAAGCTAATTACACAGTTAGCCGAGAAATCGTAAAACGAATCTTTTAAGACTAAATAGTTCATAATTGAACAATTTTTGCCAAATACAAACGAAAATGCTACAGTAACCAAAAGACAAAAATTTTCGGAACTAAACGGACCTTAACGTTGGCCAGTTCATCTCCGTCCAGTCGGGGGTCGGGGCAACAGGCTGGCTGTTAGCCCCAGGCTCCACGTCGTCACCGAGACTGAGGCTTTGTTTAGTTTCAGTGCGCTAAAATTTTGGAACGTCAAATTTTGGAGGAGTCATATAGGCTGTCGTTTAGATATTAATAAAAAAATAAATTATAGAATTCGTCAGTAAACCGTTAGACGAATTTATTAAATTTAATTAGTCTATCATTAACACATGTGTTATTATATCTCTTTATTGTCAAATCATAGACTGATTAGGCTTAAAAGATTCGTTTCGCAAAATAATCATAATCTGTATAATTAGTTATTTTTTTAGACTATATTTAATACTTCATATACGTATCAAACGTTCGATTTGATAGGATATGGTCTAAACTCTTAGATGACCTAAACAAGCCCTGAGTTCGCAGACGTTCAAGCGGTTGCTTTGCCTGACAAAAGGACGACGCGTTGTAACCAAAGCAGTCGTGGCCTCGTCACGCACTTCTACGGTTTGTGAGCAAGGCCAGTAAAAAAATCTGACAAAAACTGAAGCTACTTTTTTTATAAAAATAACTTGCGTTAGGAGATTTCCCATTCATTGATGGCTGTCTACATAGCATATGGTTTTGACTTTTGACAGCCTGCGTTGCTGCTGCCCTTATAGGCTTTGACCGTCTGACGTCCAGTTTGACTATTCAGAATATTTTATTTATGCGGTATTCACTAGTGAAGAAAAAATACCGTAATCAGTATACATTTGAGGCCCTGATCGTTTCGCTAGAAAGTTAGGCTGAAAAGGACTATTCGCTGATTTATCGTGATAAAAAAACATTATTCTTCGCTAAAAAAATACGACTAATAAGTCTAGCTAAGCATCTTATCGCCCTCCTCTCATGGCAATACTCATGCTTTCTTGCGTTCGTCATACCACCTCATATGCTCCAGCGATGACTAATAGAAACCAGATGTCTTTCCAGCCGATAATAAAAAACAGAAGTCTGAATCATGTTGACCACCGTAAGTTATCCACGCATCACAGATTCACTAAATAAATATCATCAATAGGTGACTCCACGAGACCAGCTGTGTCTGTAGATTTCTTGATAGCTCAAACAGGAAATGTTCCCGACCCGAGAGAAACTATATAATGACCAATCTTTTTTGGTTCAAATATTACAGATGTAAGGCACAAGAACAGTGATCAATTTGTACATCTTCAAGAACGTCACTAGTGCTGCAGGCAGGCAAACAAAAACAATGCCTCCATAAGATATATGGAAAGGGGATAGCCTCGCGCAGTGTACAACCTCTACCCTCACAAGGCACAAATACACAAACTAAGACAAGCACCCAATCAGCCAATCCAACACCCTAATTATGTACTGTGTCGCTGTCAAAACACGCATGATCACTTCATCAGGTGCCTTGGTCGCCTGGGCCAGCGAGAGCGATCTGCAGAGCCATCAAAAGGTGTAAACCATGCTGTTTTCTAGAACAATAGGAAAAAGAATATTATTCGCACAGTAAAACAAAACTCAAGACAACATGGCATACATTGCAGTTCGAAGCAAATTTGCGAGCAATCATAATTGCAGCGTTCCTGTCCCTGTCTGTTTCGAAAGCTAGAGTGTAGGACAAGCCTTTCCGAGCATGCCAGAAAACTGCCCTAGCTGCAGCATTACCACCACCGCGACTCCCACATAACTGTAAATGGAACAAGACAAACAGATTATCAGAAGATTAATCATAAAATAGCCTATAAAAGGCTTAACTGCTTTTGAAAATCAAATCCTCAGCACAGTTAATGAAGTAATGCCTATAAGCATGCAACAACAACCATCCCATGAGGAAAAAAAAACATAATTAAATCCCACAAACTACTACTTCTGAAGGAAAAGCCCAATATTCATCTAAATAACATCATTATAAATAATACTTATAAGTATGCCTACTGCTACAACCACAGAACAGGCAACATGTCAAATAATGAAGTAATTTCATCTAAGTTAAGCCCTAATTTACCTTCATCGTAGTGGAATATGACTCTCTTGCTTTTGTAGACCATCCTTTTCGAAGTTTTATTCTCAGCTTTCCAATGTGAAATACATGGACAGAATTCGATGAGTAATCCTTCCCATTCATTTGGGTTACTACTACCTACAAAGCAGCAGTGTGAACCATGGTTCAACTTAGCATTGTACATTAAATCAAAACCTCAATCACTGCTTCTCTACCATAAATAATCATGGCAAAATACAGAGATAAAGTCAAACTCAGTGCCACTTGAACTGATTAAAAATGAGAGGCCCGGTTGAGAGTGGGCAAATGTGATGTTATAAATTTTAGGGGCTAACATGCCCCCCCCCCTCCTAAAAAAAAACAGCACTTAGAGCATCTCCAGCAGCTCGCCAATACCATCCCTCATCCCTATAAATCTGTCATATTGGGCGAGATGAGGCAATTTCATTGCTCCAGCAGCTCCCCAATAGCTCTCCCTTTTCTTGTGATCACCAATATCTCCCCCATCTCCCCTCAAATAAAGGGGAAGTTGCATCTACCCCAATAAGATGGGGCCCACAATAACTGTCACACTTTGTCTTCTTCCCTGCTTACCGCCCACACCAGACCGCCGTGGCCGCCGCCGTGGATCTGATCCAGCGGAACCAGCTGTGGATCTGAACCAGCCATGGTCGTGACTGGTGATGAGGCTGCCTCCACCTCGCCCGCCGGCAACTCCAACGGCGGAGGTAGACTTCTACTCTGCGACCGCAAGGGCTAGGAGGCGGAGGGGTCTGCGCCTGGCAGCACGGGTGTGCATCAGCGACAAGGGACACCGCCAAGATGACAGCGGAGGAGCTTGCGGGCGGCGGCCATGGCAGCGACTTTGGATTTGGGGACAAAGAAGAGAAGGGGCCCATGGTTGGAGGTGGAAGGGGTGGAGAAGAGAAGGGACACCATGGCCATGGCCATGCCCGGGGGCAGAGGGGCACCATGGCTGAGGGTGTGCACGAGATCTTGAACTTGGGTGCGACACAGGCCGGGGGAAGAAGACGCCCCACTACTGTCGTGGAGAGAGAAAATGAAAGCAAAAAAAAACTGTAATATGACAGGTGGGTCCTATATAATGGGGAAGATTATTGGTGATCTACAAAAGCATCTCCCCCAATAATCCAAAAAGTCGTATTGGATCATCCCCATTACCATCTTATTGGGTGAGTTGGATTGGGGGGCTGCTATAAAGAACTGCAAAATGATTTATCATTGGTTTCGGTGGATTCGTAGATGGTTTTCCAAAAAGTATCGAAGAGACCATACATCATATAATCAAGACGAGAACATACATTGAACTCAATATCCGTCCTTTTCATAAGTGAGTCCACATATCGTTCAAGTCCTGCAGCTGTTCAAAGCATAAGAAGTCAGCTATTTAAGTGAAACTTCAGTCATGTCAGAAGCTTGTATCAAACTATCAGCAGCTTGCTGCTTTTGCATGATTGTTATAAAATATGACAAGATAAATCACAATGCTTGTAAGTACCCTGTCTGATATAGGGTAACTGTCATATCAAGCTCTACTTTAATAGTAGGAAATCAGATAGGACACAAATGCCAAAGGGGATGTACGACGAGGAAAAAGTTAGAACAGTAAATGTCTCAGATAACTTAATTCCAGTTATTTTCTGGAAGAATGACATTTAGGATTGCCATTGAATCTTTTAAAAAAATACAGATGGGGAAAATGACTTAAACCTGTTTAAAAAAACCTTGGGAAAGGACTAACCGTTATCTATAGGGCCATCTGTCTGAACTATAATTTTGTCTGCATTCAGAACTATCTCTGCTTGCAATAATCGGCCAACATCAAACGGTTCTGGGGCATACGTAAATTTTGTTGCTCCTGCAGGAAGAGTTCACAACATCTTACCAACAGAATGATTGCATGAGATGCCAAAAGAATAAGATCAATTTAATAATCTTTAGGAATGATTGCAGCAAAAAGAACCAGAAGAAATGATTTACAGATGAGCCTATTTCTTTGAATGACTTAGGGAGAAGTCCTACTAGTCTGCATGGCACTTTATTGATAACATACCCGATATGAGTTCTCTAGTGCCTCCAGAAATTACACGATACCACTGAATTGGACAGTTTGCGATGTTTGGAGCACCATCAACTCGAGGGATAATACAAAACTGTGATCCAAGGGTATTAGAACCTTCAAGCTCAAAGAGGTCAGAACTATCCTCTTCTAACCTCTTGATCATGGCAAGCTACAAATAAAAAGCGTTGGGCAGTGATTATCATACAGCTCAACATTACTTAAATTTGAAGACCCTACTAGTACAAACTCTGCCCTATATATCTGACAGGAGATACCTCTTTCTTTAGCTGATTGCATAGCTGAGTCTTCTCTGAGATAAGAGTCCGCAGTGCCTGAAGCTCAAACTCCATGTCCATGACCTATGATTGTTTTTTACATAAACATATCAGAAGACAGTCTATTTTTTACTAGCTCCATCAAATTAATAAACAGCAGAGGATACATAATATGCCAATTAAGACTTTGATAAGATATCAAAAGAAAGCCAGGGTAACCAAAGACAAACCTTGCTTGGCTGGTGTAGCATTTTTATTCTCCTAGCCTCTCGGACCTCTTTCCTAAGTTCCTCTATCTCCTGATTATTAGAGGACAAAAATCAAGATACAAAATAAATATGGGCCAATGGTAACTGGCAAGAGACACAAATCAAACGAACATCCAAGTTCAATTTGAAATAAAGAAGTACCTCCTTCTCTCTGCTACTTGACGCAGAATCAAGCACGTGCAATGCTTTCTCGACTTTTTCGATCGCAGCTCTAGCCTTTTCAATTTCAGCAAGCGCAAGAGCCCTTTCCTCTTCAGCTACTTTGCGTGCATCTTCAGTAGCCTAAAATACAAATGTGACACTGTGACAGTCTGGTAAATGTAAATCTAAAGGTTCAACTAGGCTAGCCTAAGAAGTCTAAAAAAAAGGGTGCTCCTAGGCTACTACTGGTGCATACCACAATCAAAGGAACTAAAAGAAAGTTATAAAATCATGAGAAACTGAAACTTTCTTGGTGTTCCAAAAAATAAGAACATTACGTTCCACTGGAAACATGCGCATGGTACCTAGCTGTCCTGCCATGTTTATATCATAACATATTGACAAATAGAAAGCAGTCTTCTTTGAAGCCTCAACTCAGCTTCTCAGGTAGCACATTAAAAAGTCTGCAAAGCTAATTGGATACTAACAAAAAACTGCAGCAGACCTGCTTAAGGAAGTTAGCCAATTTTTTTACTTCAGCCTTCTCATAAATTAATTCCCCTTCTCGTTGTGTCAGCTGGACAGCTAGAGCCTCCACCTGATAGCAAATGATTGCATAATCACATAAGCATTTCTCCAGCTAAAGGTAGCATAAAGGGGGGGGGACATTTACAATCTGAATGTAATATCGACAGGGCACTATGGCAGGCATAATTGAAAAGTAAATTAGATACAAAAGAGGAATGACGTGTGAGAACATAGTCCTTGACTCCCTGTCTATTCAGAATGAGAAAATAGAGAAATACTCCAAAAAAATCTCAAGAACAGGTCCAAAGAAGCTACAGATGCATGCCAAAAGGATCTCAAGACTAATATATTCATCTTGCAAACTGTTTCGCAGGTTGCTATTTATAATTACAAGTTTATAACAACACAATAAAACCTAACAACACAATAAAACCTAGCATCATTTTCCTGGTGTTATCCTAAACGCGAAACGGTAAACAGTCGGTCACCCTTTGTTTAGCATTTAGGCCATTTAGACGGTGTTTAAACAGAGTTAAACAGCCCAAACAGTTTTGTATAGTAACACTAAAATATACATATTTATGTATGTAAAATTCAAATATGCTAGAAAGTATACATATCTACACATGTAAAAAATAAGTATTCTACCAAATAATTTTTTGGAAGAAAATTAAATCCCACTGCACCTCATATACTTAAGATGTTAATTAGTTGGGTGCTAAATATGGTAGTCATAATCCTCCTATTGACTAAATATTGAATTAAATGGTCGTCTAGCTCATTTAATCATGTTTAACTTGATTCTGTTTCTACCATTTAGACGGTTTAAACGGTCCAACCGTTTAATTCACCGTTTAGGGCCTAAACGAAACGGGTGGCCTTCGTTGTTTAAATGGGCCGTTTAGGCAAACATAGATTAAGGAATAGCAAGGATGAAAGGAACGGCTACAATTTGGATAGCTTATAAGGTCCTTGCCTTTATCTGGAACACTAATGACTAACCTCAAGCAAGGGATATTTACAAAAATAAAAGGGGTCCACTTTGAACAAAAAATGGATCTACAAGAAGCTTAATAACAGCAGGCAGATATTGGTAAGTCCAGAAATTTGAAAGAGAAGAATTTAACCAGTGAGATGGCTTCCTCAGCATCGTCTCTATTTCGACCAGCCACACGGCCTTTCAGTGTGTCTAGAACATCTCTGAGCTTCTTCAGAAGAACCTGCCTGTCTAATGAAGCGGCTTCTCGCCGCTTAGCCTGAAACATGAGGCAACAACTTCAGAATGGAATTCCATTTTAATGGGAGTAGAATAACAGTAGAAACTGATATTCATTAACAAACTTCTAAGTTATCAACTATCAAAGTAAGATGCAGAACATCGCTGCAGCTCATAGAACTTTGCATTTCACTTCCCATGTGTTTATACATTTTCTTCTTAACAATATGCTGTTGCAGAGCAATTTCAGGAAAGAAAGCCAAAGCGGCAAGCCGGCAAGTACTTCTGAAGGTGGTCTAAACAAGAAATAAAGATTGAGAAAAAAGAAGTAATAAACTGAGGTCTGGAGCATGCCACAGATACTATATGAGGATGAGGGCCAACTTAATACAGTTACTGGTAGATAACTTGAACACGATCTGAATCTTTATCCTGTTATCATTTCACTAAATGGCAATGCTTTAACCATGACTAACATCATTAGATGAGAGGTACTACTGCAGAATCTCCAATAACAATATAGTTGCTGATAACAACAGCTTTCATCTTTGCGTTAGATTTCCTATGAGATACCATTGACAAAAGTAAGTAGAGGCAAACTGAGGAAAACACCTCTTCAGAAAGCTTGGAAGCGCCAGATAGACCCTTCTCAAACTTCTCTTTGAGATCACGCACAGAAAGGCGCTTGTGCTGCTCTAGCAACTGCGCTGTTTCCTTTGCAACAATCTCCTTGAGAGGTACAGCCTCATGTGTCTCCTCTGGATCAATGATTTGGTTGTTTGGTCCAATCCTGTAGTCTGGGAAACGTCCCTTGGGAAAGTTAACATCAGATGAGACCAAATCAAGTGCCTCCTTCTGCATGTCATCTCCGGAGTCATGGATGACCCTTGTCATGTGTGGTGATCTGATGACAAATTGACCAGGAACATATATATCCTCAGTGTTTTATACATACCAAAAACTTGAAAATTTACAAGCACATCAGAGAGGAATCAGGTATTGAAAGATATGTCTTGTATGCAGTGTTACATCGTTTATGGCTACATAAAACAAGGCACAGCTGAAATTGGTAAAGATTTCAAACTTGAAGCAATTCCAACTCATTTTTCTTTTTCTTATCACAGTAGTTCAGATGCCAAAAGCACATATGAACAGTTACATCAGGAAGTAAATTCCACTAGTCCTAGCATCTATCTCAAACCTTACGAAATTGGCATCCTAGGGACTAGGGAGTAGGGACAGGAGTGAACCTCACAACTGCAAACACTAAGGCTACATTAAATTTTAGAAGATAAAGCAACAACCTTTATAGACTATAAAATATAAATAGCTGTTATCTAGCACAAGGACAACTAAGATTGGATAGAGCATGGCAAAAGCTAGACTCAAAAAGTCAAAATTAAGTTAGACTCAAAATACCCAGGCCAGACTTAAGAGTAGAGCATACAGATTCAGTCGAATTATGGACACCAAATATGTTTGGTGGAAAAACAGCACCAGCATGTTTGCTAGATCCATGTTCCAGGCTGAAGAACATGATAGATTGGCAGGAAAGCACTCAGCGCACAAATCCACAACTAAGCGAATGGGCCAAAGGGTAGAAAATTGGAATTGATTGCTCACAGTCAGAGCAAACAAAAGGTCGCCCGGAACATAGAACAAGGGAATCCAGAATCCACCCAATGGCAGCAAGCTATGAGCACTTACCAGCAAGAGCAGTACCAATCCAACCCGCGTGTGGTTAAATCCCCGCTCAAATCCAGCAGACCAGCAGAGGAGCGGCCGGCGGGAGGAACCGTGGCAGAGTGAGCGAAGCGCCGGCGCCGGTTGCTGGGAGCCTCTAGGTTATGCACCCTCTCGAGCACGCAACTGCGCCTGGAATTGGAGAAGGGGAGACGAATTTCCTTTCCGCCAAATTTACTAGGGTTGTAGTAACCCCTTGCGGCTTTTGAAAAAGCGGGGCTTTAATAATCGGATGCTGTTGCTTTCGATCTCGCGGATGGGATTCCCTTTGACGAGTGGGTTCGAATTCTCGATGCGCCACGAGGAGACGACGACGGGACGGCAAAGGAGAGGAGCAAGCGAAGCGAAAGGAAGGGAGGCGAAGGAAGACTACTGCTGCAGAGACGAACGATTAGAGACAGGGCCACAGGGGGTTTTGTTTAGGTTTTTTACTACAAAAATGGTGATGAGCTGGACAGTCACTGAAACGTGGGACCACCTTTTTAAATGACCTTGGGTTTGGTGATTGCCGGACCTGCTGTCCAGACTCCAGACTCCAGAGCTGACCGGCTGGGAATTTCTTTTTTCTACCAATGGTCACGGGTTGTCAACATAAATACCTGCGTCTCAAGAAGCGATTCTAAATTTGAACTAACGCCTGTCTTCTAAATGAGCAATCAGTGTCAGGATAACAGAACTACTCATCGTGTTATCAAAAGGGGAATCAAGTTATTTAAACTTATTTGTATTGCAGAAAGTATTAAGTGGTCATAATATAATACTCATGCTGTTCATATACATGCGCACTCGGGCGCTATTTATATCGTGTACGAACGAGTTCGGCGTTAGTAGAGTTCTGCTGGGATTGCAACCAGAGACACCATCAGCGTTTTGTACTGGGACCGCGACACGGCACACGGCCGTGACAGCTACACGAAACGACCAGCACCAACCCTTTCGGCAGCGCACCGTTTGGCACGGCTCGAGCACGCAAGGGTGGCAGCGACACGTACGTGGCCGGGCGGTGCGGGAGTCGGCCTCGCCGAGGCCCTAGAGATTTCGCAGCGGAATCAACTATTGACCGAGGCCTAATGCCAGTTTCAAAAAAAAAAAATCTCTAAACCTTTAAAATAGCTGTCTCGTCCTCAACTTCTTCTTTTTTCGCTCAATTTCATTTCAAAACTATTGAAATAACGGCTTCAGTTATCAAACTCTGTTTTTTTAGTCCCAGTCTCAGTCATGAACTAATAAATTTTAATAAGACATTTTAGATTTTAGATTTGATGAGGTTTAACTTCCGTCATACTCGTTTCATATGGAACATGTCGCACGTTGTCAGCTTCACCACCACCTGCGATAGAAAATGGATGGTCATTGTTAGGCCCTGGCCATGGAAATAGCACACTTTTTCAACCGTGAATAGGCCAATATCTAATTACGGCCTGACATCAACCGAACACAAGAATTGATTCCTATTCTCCTCCATGATCAAATAGTGTTACATTTTCGCGAACGAAACAAAAATCTCAGCTCCTTTGTTTATGTTAGAGAGGAGGGCAAAGAAATTTTAACATTTTATTATGGTTCAGTTAGTGAGTTAAGCACGGAAAGGTTTGTGGTTGCTGCCCAAGCGAACCCCATTGTGTGTACCGTTTGACTCGCTTCGCGCACGCAAGCGAGGCAGCGACGCTGGGCGGCCGGTGCAGGTCGGTGCGGGAGTCGGCCTCGCCGGTGGCCTCCTCACCACACGCTGCTGGCGGCTGGCCTAGAAATTTCCCCATGGTTAGCCGTCCGGCCGCCGCTAACCGTTTTTCTGTATTTAGCGCATGCTACAAATGGCGTCATCTGGAGAATCAAATCGTGGGGCAAGAGGAGGTCCGCATCGTTCGAAACGTAACAAGGGGCGTAACGCCTCACCGTATAATTATATGATTATATGATCCGCCAAGCCTGCCAACGATGAGCCGTCACGACAGGGACGGGTCGGAGAAGAAGAGGTAATGTCGGGCTTGCTGTTCAGTTCAGCTACAGCCTACAACAGCAGCAGACGGAGGAGTTTTGGAGTAGCTTAAATTAAAGCTTGTTTACGCACGCATGTCACGGACTTAACACACATGGCCCTGGGGGCAGACCGTACGTAGTTTGAGCTAATCAGCCGCGTATATCCTAACACGTAGGCCTTGCCGCCTGACTTTTGTTCTTGTGCACAACTGCACATCATCGATCTGGACTCTGGCCAGGTATATATCCGGATGATAATAACAAGGGAAAAAGGCTGCCGATTGGCTTGTAGCCGCATGACCTGCTCTATTTTGCACGGCAAAAAGACGAACGAGTGAATGATTGCGTGCGCTACACTAATTTAGCGGGGTGGGGTGGGGCGCCGAGGAAGCAGACTAATTAGCACCACGAACTCAAAGCACCGGCCGTTCGCTGTCTCGCTTTGCGATTATATATTTGCTTTTCTGTTTCTGATGATGAAACCTTACTGGCTTCGCGAACCATTTTATTGCAATCTCTCATCGCCGTCCCGGCCCTCTCAACCGGACAACGGAGTGTTCGTGCTCGTCTTTGTTTGTTTATGCTACTGCTTTGCCTTTCCCTTTTCTATCCCGGCCGGTCCTGTGGTTGGTACTGTCTGGTTGGTGGAAGCTGCCAAATAATGCCACCTAAAATGCGCCACATCTTTATTAAGCACTGCAATTGCCAGTGCAAAATTAATGTGTGGTACCCAAGAGGCTATGGCATGTTAGCTTCGTTTACTCTCAAAGTTGTTGCCTGCCAAAGCTTATAGCCAGTAATTTCAAAAAAAAAAACCTATAGCCAGTAGTGGTCCTTTCCTTCCCTGTGCGGTGTGGTCTCTCCTACCAGAATTCCCTTCTTGTTAGTTGATTTCCTGTTTAGAATTGTGCCAATCAATCATAAAAATTATGTTTATCTTCGTGCCACAAGATCAAATGCGATTTCAAAATATGTCAGCATTTGAACTTGTGGCAGCATGCTTGTTAGTAGTTTTGTTTTTGTCCTGATGTTGATCTCACTATAAGGAGCTTCCCTGAAGAATTAGCTCCACCACTAAGGCCGTTTGCTCATGAGAACACTTTCAAGCAAACCAATCCATTTTTTTATATAAAAAAACACTTCATAGCACCTATATCTATATGGTTCTTAATCTAGAAACTAATTTTATATTATACCGGACTATTATCAACTTTTTTTGAGGGGACGGACTATTATCAACTATACTAACACATGCTGACAGATATATGCCGAGGGCTGAAGCCTGCAGGCCCTGAGCCTACTAAGAAAGCCCACCACATCTCTCTATCCAGAAATTAGGGGAAGAAAGGTCCATCCTAAGACAAGCCAGCCCAGCCAAGGCTTGACAATTGGCACTTGGAAAAAAACCAATGTTTTCGGTCTAGACCGATAAAAAAAGTCGATTTTGGAATCCTAAACTCTGGTCGATATTGTCTTCTTTCAATCGGAGTATTTTTTTTGACATATTTTATTTTGAAATTTTATAAACTAGAAAACATGTTCCTGTATTGCAGCAGAATATAAAACTTGTTGCATGATCATATGGATGATTTATAGGTCAAAGAATTATTCAATGATCGCAATATCTGCTCAAATATGTATTTGAATTAGATTATGTATTGTCACTAGACATCGCGTTGTTCTAAATCATATGAACACGGAATAGGAAGTGCCATGGAGGGCATTGTGGAAAGTAAAAAAAAAAAGACAGTTGAAAAATCCATCTCCCTTTAATATTAGTCAGTTCTAGATATAGATACAGATAGGGTATTTTAGGGCTTCCCACTTAATGGATATGCATAATAACCATAAAAAGGTATCTATAAAAGATTTAAAATTAAAAAAAAACATTATATCGTAGAAAAGCTCTATTAAAGCATCACCAAAATTTTGTCGAATTTTGTGCATTTTGGTGTTTTCGTCTAGGATCCATAGAAAAACACGATGCTGAAATCCGAAATCCTGATCGCAGGAGCTTCTGTCGCTCTGAAATCAGGCTTCTTTTATTATTTGAGTGTTTATACAGTTCATACAACAAAGTGTACAACATGAGAATTCACGTATGGTCCATATACTCGGCTTATTGAATTCACTTACACAACAGCCACTGATCGTTAATAGTGACTGCTACAAAGCGATACTGATGTCTCCAAGCACATGGGGTATGTGCAGCTTCAAAAAATTACCATATCTATGGTTCTCTTCTTCAGTTCACCTGCGTTCTGACGTTTTGTCATACAACATAGCGGTATGTAACGTATCTGCCAGCTGTCTCGCTGGGTCTGATGATCTTCACGACCTGACCTCGTCTGAGGCCATAGTACCTAGCAATAGGATCCGAAATCTGTATTCTTGGAAGCTGTTGGATCCGATGCATTCAGAAAAGGAAGGGTTACAAACTTCAAGGGATGTTAATTGCTTGGAATGTACGGCAAAATGCATATTATACTATCATAAGAACTTATCATTTCTGTTGTTAATCTGGAATGCTAGTAAAATACTGAAAAGTGCAGGAAACCAACGATCGGTTTTCGACAAAGGGCGCAGAGAATGATGCCATTCTCTGACAGCCTGACCCATCTCACTGCTTTGCTGTCTTGTGAACATGTGATACACTCCTAAACGCTACTCTTGCGCGATACTACCTCCATCCCAAGAAAGATGCAATTCTAGACTTAGTTAGAGTTAAACTAACTTAAATATAACTATATTTATGGAAAATAGTATCGACACTTAACACCCAAATAGGTATATTATGAAAATGTATTTAGCAACAAATCTAGTTATACTTATTTAGTATAACAAAACATTAATATCTTTTTATATAAATTTAGTTGAACTTAAGATAGTTTGATTGAAAACTATTGTAGAATTGCATCCTTTTTAGTTAGAGGGAGCAGAACATAGCGTGTTCCATGCATGCTCAATTGCTCATGGAACAGACGACCTCTGTATGTTTGTGTCTAACTAGGCAATTTCTACCAAAAATTATTGAGCCACGAACTAGACTTATTATGTTGGAACTAAAAATAACCAAAGATGCTTGAAAGTCGAAACTGACTACTTAAAATGGCTGAGGCTATAGAAAGTTGAAACTTTACGTTTTGTCTGATGTCCCACTGGCTGAGTAGTAGTAATAAATCTGCAAGTGTGATTGTGTGAATAAGTGGCAATACCTGAGTTTCCTTTAAGGTGTACCGCTCCAATAGCGTCTTTTTCTCCTCATTTGTGAGCACCTGATGCTCAGGAACAAGAACATGCTCCTTGATGTTTATAAGCAACTCGGCCTCCTGTTGATTGCTTCAGTTATCAGAAATAACAAAATAGAAGATCATTGCACAATAGCATGCGGAGCAAGCGATAATGCCAGTTAAATTGCAGTAGCTTCTTCTTGATGTGCAAACTAACCTGGAAAACTTCCAAATGGATCTTTGGCTCCAATTCTAGGAGAAACGACTTTGCAAATGGAGTTAGGTTCTGCTGAAGAACCACCACAGCTCTGGAGACATTCTCATGCGTCATCATTTCAACGTACTTCTTGATGTGCTTCATCCCTACCTTGTCATCATTGGGGAAGAAAACATATATCTGATCAACGAATAAAAACCAATTACACAATTAGGAGGACTACCAAGCGCAGCTTCAAAAATACTGAACTTTGCTATTAAGGAGTACTGAACTATTTGCTGAGAAAATAGTGTTACTGATAGGCTCGATCCGTGCTCAGTGATTTGAAGCTTGTGTTCTTCACAGGAAGCAGTTAGCTTGCCGCAGCTTCGACACCCCATGGCGATCCGGACATCGAACCGATCGATCAAGCAAGAGCAGAGGTACGGATTCAAGGAGAGAAGCACCGATCCCCAAGAAATTAAAGGCCCGTCAAAGGCGAAGGGAGCTAGATCGAGCAGCTATCCACGGACGTCTGTACTGTCTGATCCGATCAGGAGCGGCGGAAGGGAAGCAGGGGAGGCGGGCAGTTGACCCGCGGCGGAGTGGATTCGGATTGAATCGGGAGCTAAGTACTAAGAAGAGCTGAGCTTGGAGGCTTGGACTGACCTGGTCGGAGGGGTCGTTCTTCTTGGACTTGTTGATTTGGAGGTCCTCGCGGTGGAAGGACTCGCCGAACTTGCGGAGGAAGTCGCGGCGGCTGGTGGCGAGCTCGTGCTCCACCACCAGGTAGCCACGGTCACGCAGCATCTGCATCACCGTGCAGCGGATCCGGTAGAGCCGCCCCACGGTGGCCTCGTCGGTCACCAGGCCCGCCGACATCTCCGCCTCCGCCGCCTCGCTTCCTCTGCTTCTTCGCTTTCTGGTTCGAGCGCGGCGGCTGAGCAGGGGCGGGGCCTGAAGCAGGTGACGTCGTCCTTGCTGCGCGCCGCACCAGTGGAGCACTGGAGCCAGTGGAGTGGGGATGGGTCGGGTGCGGGTGGGCCCGTTATCCGGATGCGCGCGAAGAGACGAGCCTGCCTTTCCATTGACTAGAGAGTTTTGCGAAGCGCCCTATCACCTAAATTGTGAAAGCACTGGTTTAACGTAGGAACCGTACGTCTAAGACGAGAGACAAAATGAGACAAAGCCAAGATCCAATCTAACATTATACAATATTATCCTCATCAACACATCGCAACCGTAGGAAATATTTCTGTTGTTACGTGGCATAGACATCATTGTTGAGGACTGTAGATTTTTATAGATCGCTATGGGAGACATTATTAGAAAATTATATCAGCACTCAGCATTGTGGCTTTCGATCTGAGAAAAAAACATCGTGACCCACGTCTTCCTAGTAAAGCTTTCAAGCACAACACCTCTATTATTGATCATCATTACATCATTCAAATGGAGGGCTCGTCTGCCTGTTCAAATAGCTCGGCTAGAACAGCGGTAGCTTCCAATAGCAACAACACCTTCACTTCCTTGTAGTCGAAAGGTACACTCTCTTGCTTCACGAGGTTGACAAAGGCATTGTTGTCAACATTGTAGGTCCTCGGTGCCCTCTAGCAAGGCGAAGCGTGGCCTATACTTATATAATCAAAACTCAGCCTGCACCTAACTAACTATGAAAGTGCCAGCAAAGAAACATCTAAAACAACTCATTTTAAGATATCTGAAAAGGATGTATATATAGCACAAAAGTTTTTGTTAACAACACAGATCACAGATGTCTTCTTCGACCAACGAATGCATCAGAAATCACTGCAGTGTATTGGTTCATGGTTCAATGTCTAAATCGAGGGATTAAGAAAATGAGTCAAGAGCTTTCCTGCATTGCCTCATCTACCAAATATGAAAAGTATATACTACCAGAATATAACACAAAAAATGTGCCCACCTTCACATGGCCATGGTCATGTACTGGATATCGTATATGCAAAGATCCTTAGGAAAGAAAAGTTTGCAAGGTTGGTAGATCTATTAATCATGTATTCACATCAGTAAAAGAACATTAGTATTGTAGTACATGTGAAACACCACAGAGCTGGAGTTAGCAGTTAGCAATATGGTCTCTAACATTTGGAAACTAATCAGAATTAGCCAACTATTTATGTTATTATATCCACAAGCATAAGCAGGGAGGACACGGGTTGTTCCTAGCTATTAACAACCAGCAAAAAATTCTGAGGTTGGTACAAAAGTTAAGCTTACCTGCATGTGTTGTGGTACATATAACTACTCAGTGTTAAATTGATCTCTAATCCTAAACTGGGCCCAACGGCCCAGTTAGGCCTTTGATCCGCGCTCTGATCAGGGGCGTCCAGCCCACTATGGCTGGAGGGCCCCTGTCACACTGCGCTATATATAGAGGTGGGGGCCGGCGGCTCTGAGTACGAGGTTCGCCTGAGCTGAGCTCCCCACCGATAAACCCTAACCCGATCTAGTGAGGGGCACAGCCAGTGACGGGAAGCACCGCCACCACTGCACTACGCCGCCAATGGTCTTCACCGCCGGTCGCCACTGCCCATCACCGTCACCGTTCTCACCGACCATCACTGCCCTCGCGCAGACACCGACACAACGACCATGACCGACGCCTCTGGATCGAAGGCCTACGATGGTCTGTAACCTAACACTACTTCTCCCTCTAATCTCTGTCTAGTTCACGTACTAGGACATGTTATCCATTTACAAGATGTACCCGGCTAGATTTATGACTATGTGATCATAATAAATGTTAACATTGGTATCAGAGCAAGGTTATATTGAGTAGATCTCGGTTTGGGTACGAATAGAAAAGAAAAGAAATCAAATGAAAGAGATGAACCGAATCGAATCGGGAAAAGAAACCCTAACCCTAGAAAGAGAAAGGGGACGGTAGAGAAGGGGCTTCCTACGTGGGGCTCGGCCGTCCCATCTTCGCCGCCGGCCATCTCCATGGCTGGCGCGCGGGAAGAACCAGAGGCACCGACCGAGCAGGTCACGCCACCGCATGGCTCCGCCTTGGGCTCGGGTGTCAAGGGCACCGCAGCGCAGCCCTTCGACGGCGGTGCGCTCACCCTCGGGTGGACACACGCACCGACGAAGGGGCGCGCGGTGGCGCCGCCACTTCCTCCGGGCGCCATGGCTGCTGCCTGCGCTTGCGTGAAGAGCGGAGGGAGGCAACAGAATGGGGGCTAGGATTATGGGACAGCGGCTGGAGGCCGGTTTTGTCTCTGCGAGATTGAAGCCTATCCGTCATAGCTATTGTGTGGAAGAAACTATATTAACTAGAATTATGGTAGGTGGCTTGCTATTTTAGTAGGCTAGTGCAACACTTGCTTCGCCTCATAATTGTCTAACCGGTTTGTTAAGTGTTGTTGTAGAATTTTTTAATAGGCTATTCACCCCCCCTCTAGCCATTAGGACCTTTCAAGTGGTATCGGAGCCGAGGTCACCGTGATTTGAGGCTTAACAACCTTCGGTGTAAAAATAGCTCAAATCAACAACATCAAGAAGCCACCCCAATTTGATGGCTCAAATTATCCCTATTGGAAAGCTAAGATGACAACTTATATCAAGTCAATCAATAGGAAGATTTGAAATGTGGTAAAGACAAAGATTGAGATTGAAGATGAAGAGGCTCCCACCGCTGCCGAAGAAATACTACTCTAAAATAATGACATTGCTCTTAGTGCCATCCATGATGCTTTGGATGAAAAAATATTTGAGCAAATCAAGAATATTGAGAGAGCTCATGAGGCATGAAAGAAATTGGAGAAATCATTTGAAGGCACTCAAGCCGTGAAGGGTGCAAAGGCATATATTCTTAAAGAGAAGTTTGCAAGCTTCAAGATGAAGGAGGATGAGAGTGTGCCGGAGATGTTCCATAGGCTTCAAGTGCTTGTCAATGATCTCAAAGTACTTGGAGAAGAGGTGAAGGACAAGGACTTCTCCCATAAGTTCTTAAGATGTTTGTCTTCAAGATTTGGCACATTGGTCACTATTCTAGTGAGGAGTGGTTTAGACACCATGACATCAAATAAAGTGTTGGGAGATATAATGATTGATGATACATATAGAGATGATGATGAGAAGAAAGAAAAGAAGGAAAAGAAAGATGAGAAGAAGGATGAGAAGAAGAAGAGCGTGGCATTCAAGGCCACATCATCCAAGGGCAAGGCAAAGCAAGATACATCAAGTGAAGATGATGGCTCATGGGATGATGATGATGATGATGAGAAGATGGCTCTCTTTGTCAAGAAATTTGGCAAGTTCATGATGAAGAAAGGGTACCATGCTAGAAGAAAGAAATTTTCATCCAAGAATAAGGAAGAGTAAAGAAGGTGCTTCAAATATGAAAGCAAAGATCATCTTGTTGCTCAATGTCCATACAATAGCGACAATGATGATGACAACAAGAAGAACAAGAAGGAAAAGATGGAAAAGAAAGAGAAGATGGACAAGATGACCTTCAAGAAAAGAAGGATGGTTCATATGTGGTCACTTGGGATAGTAATGCTTCCTCAAGTGATAATGATGATAGTGATGATGACAAGACCACCAAGAAGAAGGCACTTGCAAGCATTGCAATCAATGAGAAGCCTTCTCTCTTCGACACTCTATCATGCTTCATGGCTAAAGCCACTAAGGTACAAACTTGTGATGATGGAAGTGATGAGGAACATGATAATGAAAACAAAAATGAAAGTGATAGTGATGATGATGAACCTACTAAGGATGAACTATTTGACATGCTAGAAGATGCTAAAGAATACTTTGACATCAAGAGAAGGAAATGCAAAAGCTTGCGTAAGAAACTAAAAGCCCTTAAGCAAGCCTTTGATGAGCTCAATGCATCTCATGAGAGGCTAGAGAAAGCCCATGAAAAGCTTAGCAAGGCTCACAAAAAGGTTGAAAAGGCTCATTCCTCTTTGCTTGATGAGCAAAATAAAAAGAAACATGCTGAAACTTGTAATATAGACTTAACTTGTGATATAATTGATGAATCATTATCTATGCCTATCATTGTTGCTCTTGCTAATCCTTCTTGTAGTACTTCTACTTCCACCTCATCTAGTAGTGATGGTTTCACTTGTGATGCCTCACTAATGGTTGAGAATGAGACCCTCAAGAAGGAGGTCAATAAGCTCACTCACACCTTGGCTAATGCCTATGGTGGTTAGGACCGCTTGCTTATGTGCTTGGGTAGTCAAAGAGCTTCTCTCTACAAAGAGGGATTGTGCTATATCCCCAAGAAAGGTAAGGCGGCCTTTACTCCTCACAAGACTAGTTTTGTGAAGAACAATGGTCGGTTTTGCACTAGTTGCAAGCAAGTTGGTCATAAAGAGCATGAGTGCAAAAACAAGAGCAAAAATGCTAATGTATCCTCTATTAAGCTTGATTCTTTCTATATGCTTACCAAGGATGCAAATGGTGTAAATGCTAAGTTCATTGGTAAACCATAGATGGGCTCAAAGAATAAAGGCATTTGGGTACCTAAGAGCTTAGTGACTAACCTTTAAGGACCCAAGCAAGTTTGGGTACCTAAAAAGAATTGATCTTCTTTTGTAGGTCAATTATAAAGCCGGAGGAAGGCATTGGGTTCTTGATAGTGGGTGCACTCAACACATGACTGGTGATGCAAGAATGTTCAACTCAATCAACACCAATGGCAATGATGGTTATGATAGTATCATATTTGGTGACAATGGCAAAGGCAAGGTCAAGGGCTTGGTAAGACTACAATATCCAATGACATGAGCATATCCAATGTGTTGCTAGTAGAGAGCTTGAACTTTAATTTGCTATCCGTGGCTCAATTGTGTGATCTTAGATTTAAATGCATATTTGGG